TGTTGCGACGGAGGAAGAAGAGTTATGGGACCCTTTAAGGTCTGCAAGCGTGGCAAAAACAAAAGTGCAGCAACAAAAAAAAAAAGATGCATACCTTGGGCGTCCAGAAGTTCCGTGCAGTAACGTTACGAAAGTGCGACTTATTGTAGGGCAACAGAAAGAACCGAAGCTGAAATCGCTTTTTGCTAGGGTTGACTGAGGATTAAATTCTGTAAAAAGCCTCAGCTATGAATTTGTAGAAAAAAATGGATTGCTCTACTGTCGTTGTCGCCTTGCGACAGGTAGAACGTTCAAGATGGTGATTGTGCTAAAGAAATTAAGACGAAATATTTAGAAAGTTGCGCATGAAAACATCTTGACTGGGCACTGTTTTGCCCGGAGCGACATTCTAAAGGCGGCTTAAAATTACAATGGTGGTGCGGTGAGTCTGCTGGGCCCACGCACCTAAAAACCCTTTCCCCCTGACTACCCGGAGGGACCTTTGCAGCCTGTGCTTCCGCCTCCTCCTTTGGGTGGCGCACCGAACAATGGGCCTCGCATGTAGACTTGTGCCAAGAGCACCCTTTCTAGATTCCTGGGCCAGCGACCGCGCCTTGGTGCATTGTATTCGGGGCCTGCAAGGAGGTAGCTGAGCCAGTGGTGCTGTATTGCTCTTCTCTGTGCCACCGGGTGTGCGTGTCCTTGCACTTTTCTAGAAATTGGTTTGGCGCACTAGTCTGTAGAGGGTCGGAGTGGAGGAGGACAATCCTATTGGAGGGACTTGAACTGACTTGTCTTCCCTCACAGTGAATCCTGGGAAGGCAGTGTATAAAAACGCGAGCGCAGAGACGCTCGGGTGTGCTTCATCTGTTCCATGCTGTTCTACGCTACTCTCAACATGTAAATATTGTACATAAACGTTTTCTTCTCATCTACGCCGGCTCCTCGACTCGTCTTCTCCTGGCACTCGGATGGCTCTAGACGGGACCACGCTAACCAAGGTCGCCCCAGTCACGGATGTGGCGGCTTGTCCCGACACCTTTTTCCTAACAGCACCAAGGAAATAAAAAGAACACCTGATCGTATCCTACAAGAATTTTACTGGCAAGATTTACACGGAGACGTAAAGCATTTCGTGGAATCCTGTGACATACGCCAACGGACAATACCTAAAGGCAAAGTAGGAGTTGCTCTATTGGGCATCATGCCTCTGATCCGCACTCCGTTTGAGAGTTGGAGTTGATCTGATCAGCCCTTTTTCACCAAGGTCAGACTGTGAAAATCAATACGTGCTTACGCTGATTGATTTTGCAACAGGGCATCCGGATGCGGTAGTACTCCCTGCAATTTACACTGTTCATATTGCCGAAGCACTCATTGAAATATTTTCTCGCATCGGGTTACCCAAAGAAATGGTTACAGACCAAGGAGCAATCTTTACTTCGACTTAATGAAAGAAGTTAGTCTGCTTCTTTCGGTGAAGTTGCTCAAGACAACACCATACCATGTCATGGCGAATGGTATCAAGAAATTCAACGGCACGTTGACGATAATGTTAAAGAGAATGTGCCATGGGATAGGTACCCCGGCCAGCTGCTCTTTGCCTATTGAAAAGTACCACAAGCTAGCCTCGTGTTCTTTGTTGCGGGTGACAAAGTCCTGATATTGTTGCCCACCGACGGGAATAAGCTCTTTATGCAATGGAAGGAACTATTTTCCGTGATAGAGCGAAGAAATGACGCAGACTACGTCATTGATGTGTTTGGGAAAGCCAAGATGTTTCACATTAATATGCTGAAAAAATAAAAAGAACGTGAGCCTCACCAGCCCCAACAAGTGCCGGTTGTAACAGAAGTCAACGAAAGCACGATCAAAGGACCAGGAGATGAAGTGTTTCCATGCCTGTATTGAACCAGCATCTCACGCGATTTTGTACTGATGTAAATCTTTGCAGGGACCTCACAGCCAAACAGGTTGAAGAAGTGGAATGCTTAATGGAAGAGTATGCTGACATTTTTTCAGACCTACCTGGAAAGACAGAGCTCGTAGAGTGTTCGCTACAGTCTTACTTATGACAAACTAGTTCACGTTCCTCAGTACCCCATACCGTTTGCTCTACTAGAAAAAGTTGAAAATGAAGTACCCCATAACGTTTGCTCTCCATCAACTTCAGGGAGCTAAACAAGATACTCCATCCCAGATTGCGAACCAATACCGCACATTGATGTCGTCCTCACAATTGTTGGTCCAAAACGAATTTTTTCCAAGTTTGACTTCTAAAAGGTTATTGGCAAGATGTAATGTCTAAAGAGGGCCCAGAGAAAACTGCTTTTTCCAGCATGTCTGGTCTCTACCATTTTACTTTCATGCCTTTCGGAATCAAGACAGCTCTGGCATTGCGCGCCTCATGAGAAATGCGCTCTGCGACGTCAAAAATGTTTATCATTACTTCGACGATGTTAATATTGCTATACATACATGTCACGAACACCTGGACACGCTCAGAAAAAGTTCGATCGAATCAAGCAAGCTAATCTTATGACAAAGCCTACGAAATGCAAAATAGGAGAGAGCGGCATAGTGTTTCTGAGACATCAAATTGGGAAGGCTAAATTCAAACCATTTCTCAAAACACTGGAGAAGATTCTAGCTGCCAAACGACCCACAAACAAGAAGGCAATACAATCATTGCTGGGCTTGACTGGATATTACCAATAGTTCATACTGAACTACATGGACATAAAAAAACCATTAACTGACCTTAGTAAGAAGGGACAAGGTCACAATGTATCGTGGGGCTCAACTCAAGGGAAAGCGTTCACAAAGCTCAAGAGGAAGCTCGGCAATGCGCTAATCCTCCTCACTCCCCATCTTTCCAAGGAGTTTGTACTTCGTACAGACGCCTCAAGAACGAGCCCGGGTGCAGTTTGTTTCAGATGGGCAACAATCAAGCGCTACACCCTGTCGCTTACGCTAGTCGTAACCTGTTGCGTAGGAAGACCCGCTGTTCTACAATCGAGCGGGAATGTCTCGCACTTGTATGGGCCATACAGAAGTTCAATATTTACCTGTATGGAAAGCCTTTCATTGTGCAATCGGATCAACAGCCACTACAGCACTTGAATTCTTCCAGAACCTCAACAACAGGGTGTTGAGATCGAGCATGCTATACAAGAATATTCGTATTATGTGCAGCACATAAAAGGCTGCGACAACGTAGGAGCTAACTATACGAGTCAGGCTTAACATGAAAAAAGAAACTAACCAAACAAACTCAAAACGTGCTGTGCATAAACTCTTTCCCGCTCTCCTCTCTCTAGAATTGTCGTGACCAACTTTCTTGAAATAGGGGGTAGTGTGATGATATGGGGATGCGGATGATAGGAGTAACATAGAGAGATCTGAGGACAGTGTGATGATATGGAGATGTGCGGCTTAGGTTATGCCAGAACAACAGTGTGCCATGCGGTGGCGACTCGGTGATGGCTTGTGCAACTTTTTAAATTTGTGCACCGTGCGGGGGCGAATCGTGTATGTGCCGTGCGGTGGTGAAGAGGATGGCTATCTAGTGGGTCTGTGGCTCGAAAAAGTGCGGCAGTCCGATAGCTGCGCGCGGGCATGGGAAGGTTCCAGCGCTGTCTCCTTTGCTGGGCGTCCGGTCTATGGGAGAAACCGCAAGCCCACTGCCTGGTGCCTCGGCGTAATCGAAGCACTCCTGCCTGTTCAACCACGAGAGGAGGATGGAGTCAGGGATCAGGTACGAGGCAGGGTCAAGACCTGCCGCTCTGTACCAATGGTCGCACTCAGGGTTCGGCTACGAGCACGCTGGGCTGAGTACGTCTTCGTGGAGCAGTTCCAGTGGGCCGGAACTCCATATCAGCGGCCGCGCCTCTATGTGATCACGTCGCTCACCGAGCTACGTCATAGGACACCTGACAATTTGACTCGGTGACATTATCAGCTACTTTGTCGTCGACTATGAACCGCATGAACATCTTGCGACTCTCGCGCGTAGCGGACATGATATGAATTTTTAAACGTGTTCATCAAGTCTTTTATGTAATTCACGTGTGTAAATACACTCTACATGTGCTTGTTCACATGCGTGCTGCGTCATTCTTTCTGGGGCGAATTCTGAACTCAAACATAACATCACAGATGGCACCGCGGGCAGGTGAACAGACGAATGCATAGAAGAGATAACTGGTGGACAGTAAGACCAACAGAATTGTTACCGAGAGACACAGTCGAGGAAGGCAGAGAACTAAATAGAGTGACAAAATTTAGCGGAGAACACGGAATCATAAGACAAACTGGAGATTGGGAGAGGCCTTGCTCCTTCAAGGACCTGAGAATGACAGAGAGCAGAAGTAAAATTTCGCCTCAATTCACCATTACCCACTGTACAAACGACAGTGGCGACTCCTGACTGTTGAAGGGGGAGGGGGGGCTCCGCCTGGTAATTTTTCTTACTAGGCAATTTGACATGCACCCCCCCCCCCCCCCCCCCTCGGTAGATGCACCGTCTGTCATTAACTAGCGGGGCCCAAGGTAGCCTGGTCCCGGTATTTTTGTGTCTTTCATTGGAGCGGGCATATACATTTTATTGTACCGGGTGTATGTTCTGCAATCTTGCGCAGCTGTCATAACACTCGTGCGATTAAATACCATGAAGCAACTCTCATCACGAAAAGAAGACAATAAACTGTTGTCCTGCCAGGACTTCCCAAGGCCATCATAATGTGAGGCACATACATAGCCAGCTGGTCTTGCTTACAGTGCAAATTCGACATACACAAGCTGAATATGCCCAGCTGAGCGACTGTAGCAAACACCGTGAATGCGGTAGTCTTTTTGGATTGAAGCAGCCGACAGTCAATTTCCGGGTATGACGAAGAAGGTGGAATGCCTCACCTTTTGCCCTATATATATAACAAAAATATAAAAAAGCATCAACTCTTATTCGGCTTGCTTCATTTGTAAGTTGTGGCTGGCGGATGCAGGCGAGGCAATATACGTACGCGCAGACGCGCATGCCGGTGAACCAAGCCGCTCGTCGCATCGAAGCCATCGGAGGTTCTTCTTCCTGGGACGACGCTCAAGTAGGAGAACTGCAGTGCTCCGTGCACTGCACTGCCGCTGTCAACAAACCCCGGTGCTCTGCTGCGACACGAAGGACGAAACCACACAGCACCTACCACCCACAATGTTCAGACTTGCCCAGACGACTGAACATGTCCCAACGTTATTCTGTAAGCTAGACGACGAAGTCACTATCATCATTATTTTGTAGTCTATCTAGTTCAGTCATGTGGTTCAGTTTCACTTTTGCAGTTCATTGGACTACAAAGTGTAGGGATGCATTCCCGTCTTCTTTGCTTCCTCCGCACCTTTCTGTATATCCTGTGAATTTTTGCGCTATCTTCTAATCATGCAGTAGCCGCACATACTAGGTACAAGTACAACCAACAAGCGCTGCTCTCCACGCTTTTAGATAAGAGTTGTTGTTTTTTTTTTCGGTAACTTGGTTGTACTAGAAAGAAGCACACAAGTCAACAAAAGGCGCAGCTAAGTGATAGGATGGATGGATGAATAGTTGGATGGATGGTTATGGTTGTATCCTTTAGATTAGTGGTGGCTAGCGCCACCAAGCCGTAATACTTAATGAATCAAAAACTAAATTTAATTTCTTTCCTTAAATAGTGAGGTCGATGATTCGTACTTTGCAGCAAAGGGTTCAATTTTCACTCGTGTCTTGACTTTAGCCACCAATCAGATAACTTTTTTTTAGTTAATTCTAGGCAGCGTCTTCTGCACCACGCGGAGCAGCAGCCAGCCTCACACAAGAGTGGCTTCTGCACCGCACAAAAGTGACGTCCCTTTAAAAATTTTTACCTAAAGCCAGGTAATTGTGTAAATTATTCGTGTGTATTGCGTTGAACCTACAAGAGTTTTTTGATCAGATGTTTAACGAGTCATTTAGTCTAGGTTTGTTATTTAAATAAGTATAACAAGTATTTGAAGTACAGGGGGCGCCATGGGCGCTGCGGCTGCGAAAGGTAAACACTGCGAAATGGTAGCCGCCTGCGATGCGTTAGGTCGTGTGGTAGGTGGTGAAAACTCCAATGAAATCGTGGCCATGGCCTAGGCCACTCCCTAGGAGGACTGGAGTGTCGTCGCTGCTTCATGTGATTGCTGGATGCTTAGTTGAACCTGGTGGTTGAAGCTAGCGCGGCCGTCCACCGCGCCGCAGCTTCAGCTGAGTGTGTTCGCCACAAAGTTTCTCAGTATGATGTGCGGATTACAGTTGTTGGACGTACTGCATTTTCTATATTGCAATGCCAAGCGTGGTGTTCTCAAAGGTAAAAGTGCTCTTGCTGCCGAGTTTTGCTTGTCGCGAAGGACAAGGTCGACGATGAAATAAATGCTTTCGCACAGTTCACGTGTGACTGACCGGACGCACATGCATGAAACCCCAGTGCGTCGGTGAAGTGTTCATAGGATGGATGGAAACAACTTTATTGTAATGTTCTTACGAAGCCTGTGATCTCCGAAGGCCAGAGCTACTGCACTGCCGTCTGTTTTGTCAAGTGCGAACATGTACGGCCGTTCTCATCCGTTGCTACGTTAATGCTCCCGTGCTGTCACAGGCCGCGCGTGTTATTCAGCAAGACAGACAAGCTGTTTTGTAGTTTGATGGGCTAACGCCGTTGGCATTTGCCCTTGGGCATCGCTTATCAAGTGCTGATCGCCCAGAACATCACGGTGACATGTCAGTATTTTTGAAGAAAGCGGCCTGCTGGTTACCTCGTCAGGTGATGATACACTGAGCGACATAAAAAAAGTTGCCCGAGACTACGTTGCAGTGCACCTTCCTGTCATCAAAACTTTGATAAACCGTGGAGATCAACATTCCTGACACCTGTGCCGAAGAAACCAATGCAACCAGCTGCTTTCGAGTTTTTTGTCTTTTGGTGTCTCGCCGATTAAGAGCACTAATTCGCAAAACACTATATAATAATAAATATAGTCAATCCTGCAAGAGTCATCGAATATCCGATATTAAAGAGCCTGTGGACGGGACCACCACCAGCAGCAAGTCAGGCTGATGAGGAGGTGCAAATGTTAAAACAATACATGCGTGAACGAAAAAAAAAACAAAGTATGGACAACTGCAATGGGACTTGAACCACCGACCTCACCAGTTGATCTGTTGCTTTAACCAACTATGCCACAATTGCTTTTTTTTTCTTTATTTCCGGTAAACTTCACATGCGGGTTGCTACACTTAATATATTACAATTCACATTGAGCAATACAAAAAACTGGAAAATAACTAACATCACGTTCTAGAATTCCTTCATGGTCAGTGGGCTTCTACCCTTTCTACCCATAAAGGTACACATTCATCTGTTCTTACTACCTCGAGTAATCTTGAGATGCTTTCTTTAAAATACTCTCTTGCTGGTCTTCTGTCTGGGTCACAATGAAATCCAGCCATTCTAGAGCGCCATATACTGTGCAAGGCAGTCATCATAATAAAATCGAAAGGTAATCCATCATCATTCTCTATATCCAAATACCTGATCCCATGAGGATCTAACGGGAACTCTTTTTTGATTGTCCTTTGTAATACGTCCCAAAAATAAACTCCTTCCCAACAGTGCAGAAAAACATGGTCAATAGTTTCCGGTTTCTTACAGATCAGAAAGTGAGATCCCCAAGGCATATAAAACCCACGCTCCTCTAGGAAGGTTCTTACAGGAAGTGTTCCAGTGTGTAATTTGAAAAAGAACGTTTTCGCACTTGGAGCTGCTGGCATTTTTTTAACTCGTTTAAGTACATTCTGGCCCTTGCGTTCTGTATATAGCGCTCTGTACAATGGGATGGGGAGCATCGTGTCACATAAATCTTTGTACAGTTTTTTTCTTTCCAACAGACCACAGGTAGTCAGTTGAAGACCGAACACACAAAAACCGCACGCTGGCCGCAACTTCCTTCATGTATCCTTGCACAGCCCCTGTGGTAACATGAGTGCTCACAACAAACTCGGGCAACAGTCTACTTAGTCTTGTTTGACACACTGTTAGTAGGAAAGGACCTCTTGTCTCGCGAAAAAAGAAAAACCTATTTACTAACTGCTTGATAAACAGATGTCCTAGCCAAAGGCCTCCACACTTCACCCGTCTAAACAAATTCGTGCGACTGCACCTTTCCCAGTTAGAACCCCACACAAATACTGCAAACACCCGATGTAATTTTTGCACATTGACCCGGGAACAGTACAGCACTTGCATCACATACCACAGCTTTGACACAAAAAACCAGTTGCATGCAGTAGCCCTAGCAAACATGGACAGATAGGTTGCATTCCACCTATTCGCTTTCTCTTTAATTTCTTTCGTTTGCTGTGTCCAATATTCATCAGTACTTTTGTATGACTCAAGCGGTACTCCGAGATATTTAACTGGCGTTCTTGTCCATTTAATTGCTGCAAAAAATTCTGGTGTTGAAGGCCAATATCCATGCCAGAAGCCGAGGCATTTACCCCAGTTTATGTGGCTTCCTGTAACTTCGGCGAAAGATTTAGAAACTCTGATTGATTCTTCAATACCTACATAGGAAGTGCTACAAATAGCAACATCATCAGCGTATGCGAGTAGCTTGACCTCTGAAGATTGTACTCTAAACCCATTAATGATGTCATTATGCAATATCGACCTACATAAAGTTTCAATATAGATGCAAAACAAAAGTGGACTAACAGGGCAACCTTGACGCACTGAGCGCTCAATTCTAATGGGGGGGGGGCCCAATGTCTTGTTAATAATTAGTCTCGTACTACCATTCCGGTATGCCATGGCTAATCCGTCAATAATTATCTTACCAACATTAATGTGCTCCAATACTGCAAACAAAAGAGCGTGGGCAACGCAATCAAACGCTTTCTCCAGATCCAGCTGAAGTATGGCCACACGAGCTTGACTGGTGTCAACACATTCGAGCACGGATCGCATTTTATGAACATTTGTAGCTATTGACCGCCCTTTGATTCCACACGTTTGGTGTGGACCAACGATATCTTTTATAACTGACTGAAGTCTAGCTGCCAAAATTTTCATTAATATTTTGTAGTCTACATTTGTTAGTGCGATTGGCCTGTACGCTGTGACGTGCCTGAGCTTTTCAACCTCATCTGTTTTCGGAATCAGAACGGTACGCGATTCACCAAAGGATGGTGGCAATTTCTTTTCCTGATATGCCTCATTAAATACGCCCGCAAGTATTGAAGACAATTCACTTTTAAAACATTTGTACCACTTGGCACAAAGACCATCTGGTCCTGGAGATTTCCCGGGATTTAACTTATCAATCGCCCGTTCAACTTCAGATGCAGATATAGATAATTCCAAAGCGTTTTGCACTTCCTCATTCACTTGCGGCATGCGTCCTAAATATTCGTCTTTAAATCATTCTAGGTTTACCTGTCTACACGCAAAAAGGTTTTCAAAATGACTTGAAAATACGGATAAAATGCTGTCCGTATCGGTTACTTCGTGACCGTCCTTCTCTATTTTTTCGATATGATTCCGTCGAGCGTTCGTTTTCTCCACGCCTAACGCTCTTTTGGTCGGCGTCTCTCCAGCCGCTAATGCCTCAGCCCTAGCACGGACGAGAGCACCGCGGTAGCGTTCCTCGTCAAACAGAGCAAGTTTCTGCTTAATATTGCGTATGTCAGTTTTATACTCTCCCGGTTGTTTGCACTCCAAGTCTATTAGTCTTTCCAAAGTCTTTCGGAGTTCTTTTTCTTTCTTTTTCCTTTCGTAACTCAATGCGCAAGAACGATCAATAGCTTTTATTTTTATTCGCTGCTTGAACTCTTCCCATTGTTCTGCAAGTTTAACTTCATCATCCATTTTTATTTCATTGATACAGTTCATTACCTGATTTAAGAAATACTCGTCAGTGATCAAAGTGGAATTCATCTTCCACAGCTCCCATGAGAAAGTTCCACCTTTTGTTTTCTCTCCCATATCACATTTAACTAAACAATGATCACTGAAGTGTATTGGGTAGACAGCATATGCCTTACAGTGGGCTATTAATTCAAGCGACACGTAAATGCGATCAAGACGCGCATGGCTATTCCCCTGAAAATGTGTGAAACGCACATCCCGCGTTCCCTCCATACAGCTGCCCACGTCTCCTAACTCGAATTCAGTAACTACGTCCGCTAGCGTCCTACTACTTTTATCGTAAATGGCGCGTCCGTTTGCTCGATCTCGCCCATTGAGGACGCAGTTAAAATCACCCAGTAATACATATTTCCTTTCCAAAGTGAAGTGCTGCTTTAGGCTGGAAAAAAACATTGCTCGCTCCTCGCAAATGGTTGGTGCATAAATACACACTATACGCCACTGACATTCATTGAATACTAAATCACAGGAAACCAATCTACCAGACGGGCTAGAAAA